AGAAGGTCACAGTCGTATCCGAAAAGAACGATTTTTAAAATCTTTTCTCTTCTTGCTTCTATTTGGATTAAAGACCTAATAATATACAATAAATATTATTATTATTATTATAATAATAATTATTATTATTTCCTTTGATATCTGTTATATACAAATTTACGTCCGGGTCACAACCAGAGATCTAAGGTCAGCAATGACTTCATGATATCTGCCACTGATCATTTTTGTCACCCCCACTCCATTTTACATTGATTAAACTCTTCGTAATGTGTGAGTTTTACTTATAAATACATTTTTTTGGATATTCTTTAATGCATGGACTGTCTAGAATCCTTTCAATGAGTCTAAAGGAACCTTTTCCAATTAATCCGAAGGCTCCAACAACAATTAGAATTATTGATCTCCTCCTGTGAGACATTTTTAATAATTCCAATACAAGATACATGTTATTATTATTATTATTTATTATTATTATTATTATTGTTGTTGTTGTTTTTGACTCTCCAATTATCAGCCTACTATATATATATATATATATATATATATATATATATATATATATATATATATATATATATATATATACGAGGTACGGTTGAGTAATGGAAAGCGGCTCAGGATTGAGGAATTCGAGAGTCGAGTTCAATTCCATTACATTCACTTATGTGCTAATACCCTTGGGAAAGGTATGAATCCTCTTCTTCTCCCCCAGCTATGGATAAAATAGCAGGACATTTAAAACATTTAAGCGTGTAACAACTGCAATGTTCGACCAGTGGTTCTCCAAATCCTCCGTTACATTATATTATTTCAGACTATTCTTATCATCTTGATTAATATATCCACTATCTGCCGTGGTACATATAGGAGCTGGTTATACATGCGTTGACATCGGTTCAGTCCTTGGATCAGGTAGGGAAGTATATCTAGACGAGATACCCTTAGACATGTGCAGTGGAATGAGAATGTCTATTCCCGTAGATTAAATAAACGGCCGTATAAATAAGGATCAACAGATATTCCCATATCAGCCAATCAATTGACACCTGATGATGGCCAGAGGGTACTTGGACCAAACACCGTGTCTATAATTACATCTGAATTTCTGGGATAAGAAGTTATCATTTTTATTTTATTTTATTTGCAATCAGACTAATCTGCTTATCATTATTGATTTTATCATAACATTCTGGTTGTTTTAATTTCTATTTGTAGATCGGGGACACTAAAATCAAACATGTGCAGAAGTTTAAGAACCTGGGAAGTGTTCTGACGGTAGATGCGACGCTGAGATCCGAAAACAGATTGGGTTGGCCAAGGATGCATTCTAGAAGCTGGGCAGAGTACTGCGAAACAAGAGGATTTCTATGGTGACAAAGAAAAGAGTACTGAGCTGCTACGTGGCATCTGACCTTCTATACGGCAGTGAATGTTGGACGGTATCCTCAAGGATGAGGAAGAGACTCGAGGCATCGGAGATGTGCTTCTACAGAAGGATGCTGAGGATATCATGGACCGAGCATTTGAGCAACTATGAGGTCTTGGAGAGGATGCAAACAAGGAGGAAGCTAATGTTTAACATAAGGAAGAGGCAGATGAAATTTTTGCGACACGTGAAGTGAAAGGAGGGCCTGGAAAAATTGATACTCACGGGACGAATAGAGAGAAAAAGAGAGAGGGGAAAGCAACGCATGAGATACGTGACGGGCTTGGGCAGATGGATGGCAGAGCGTGGTCTGGGGGAGTTGGCAAAAACACAACACCTGTTGAGAGCCACAAAGGATAGGGGGAAGTGGAGGGCCATGATCGCCCACGTCCTGAAAGGACACGGCATGTAAACTTCCCTAAGAATGTGTGGTAATTCTCAAACAATAAAGGAAATGAATTTGTGGAGAGTCATGGTCGTCTACGTTCCGAAGGGACGAGGCATTAAAGAAATTAACTTTACGCCAATGTCCAATTAAATTTATCGGCACGTTTATATCTATCTATCTATCTATCTATCTATCTATCTATCTATCTATTAGATTGTGTTGAAAAGTTCTCAGCCCAACCAAGAATGGAGGCAAAACGAAAATCATGTTTGGTCATTTTATGGAAATGTGTTGGGCCGCCAGGAAATTTTCTGCACCATATCATACACCGTAATACACCGAAAGAACGAAAAGGAAGTTAGGTTTTGTTTGGTTTTTAACTTCCGACTCTTTTTTTTGTGCCTTACAGTACGCAGTTTTTTAAAAGCAGGTGCAAATTTGAACGCAGGAGATGGAAGGGCACTGAGAGTGAATGACTATATCGTCGGAGGATAAAAAAAACGGAATGAAAAAAATAAGAGGTAGGAAGAGAAAAAAAGGAAATGGAAAAGAAAGTTGTGTTTTATTGTCTTGTTTTCAGTAAAATATATATATATATATATATATATATAATATATATATATATATATATATATATATATATATATATATATATGTATATGTATATATATATATATATATATGTATATATATATATATATATATATATATATATATATATATATATATATATATATATATATATATGTATGTGTATATATATATATATATATATATATATATATATATATATATATATATATA